GCCGTCCTGGAAAAGCAAAAAGAAAATGTAAGTGCATGTCGAAATACACTCGTATGTGCGTAAAAAACACAATGTCGGCGTAAAAAAAATGGAAAATAAACTCATGAACACGTAATAGCGTTTAAAAAAATTGATTTTTTTTGTTTGTTTTTTTTAAATAGAAATAAAAATATATAAGCATATTAAAATTGTTTTTTTAAAAAAAATAATATAAAATGTCGAGAAGTGCCTTACGTGCAATAGTCGTTTAAATGTTCTGGAAATCTAACCCTTCTTCCAGAACGCGTCTTTTTAAGTTTATTTTCGGATACTGTCGAAGTATCATCGTGTGTGTTGGTTGTCGGTTGAAAAATTATGAGTGTAGGAGTCGTGTTGTGCGATTGTACCGAAGGAAAATCGACGTGAATAGGATTTCCTTCTAAATACGCTGCTTTTAAGCGATCGATGCTGATGCTATCGTTTGTTCCGTTCTTATCGACTATATAGTACTTAGATTCACGTTGAAGAACTTTGAAGGGTCCTTCGTATGCTGATTCGAATGGTCGTCGATGCGAGTCTCGACGAACGAAAACGTGTGTACTATATCGTAAGTCAGGTTGAACGAAAACCTTGGTTGATTGAGGTCGAGTGGAAGCAGGTTTAACTGAACGCATTGCGTTTGTAAGCCTGTTCGTGTAGTATGTTAGATCCATGTTCATTGAAGAGGGTGAAGGATCCACGAATTCTCCTGGAAGTCGAAGTGTCGTTCCATAAACGAGTTGAGACGCAGTGTATCCAATGTCGGCTTTCACTGCATTGTGGATACCTAGTAAGACAAGTGGAAGAGCGTCGGTCCACTGTGAAACGTTTGCAGCTGATAGAGAAGCTTTCAGTTGTCGGTGAAAACGTTCTACCAACCCGTTTGCTTGTGGATGGTAGGCAGTCGTTCGGAAGCGAGTGGTTCCTAAAAGTGTGGTCAGACGACGGAAAAGATCGGATTCAAACTGACTTCCGCGGTCTGTAGTGATGGTTGAAGGGCAACCGAAGTTTGCTACCCATCGTTCGACGAAGGTGCGGGCCACTGTTTCGGCAGTGATGTCCTTGATAGGTACTGCTTCTGGCCATCGAGTGAAACGGTCTACGCAGGTTAAGAGATAAGAGTATCCATTTGAATCTGGTAAAGGTCCTACCAAATCCAGATGAACATGGTCGAAACGAGCATCGGGAGTTTTAAACGAGCCTAAGGGACATTTATTGTGTCTGATAACCTTAGATTTTTGGCAGCTTACACAAGAGCGTGCCCACTCCCTCACGTCTTTATTCATTCCAGGCCAGCAAAACCGTTCTGCTATAAGCTTGATGGTTGCACGAATGCCGGGATGAGAAAGTTTGTGCAATGTATTGAAGACATTGCGTCGATAATGTTTCGGCACGATTGGGCGATCCCTACCTGTAGATGTGTCACAAAGTAAGGTTTCCTTACCTGTTCCCATCTCTTTGATGCGTAGTTTGAGGGTTGTAGACGATAACTCGTGCTGAAGATCACTGTCTTCTTTTTGAAGCTCGGCGAGTTTAAGAAGGTCGATTCCTTGGAAACTGTTCAAGGAAGTTATGCGAGACAAAGCGTCTGCAAGTACATTGTTTGCTCCAGAAATGTGTTGAATGTCTGAAGTAAACTGCGAAATGTGGTCCAGTTGTCGAGACTCACGGGGAGAGTACTTGTCAGAAGGAGAGCTTAACGAGAAAGTGAGCGGTTTATGGTCGGTGAAAAGAGTGAATTCACGACCTTCGATATAGTGTTGGAAATGCCGTACAGCACAATACATAGCTAGAAGTTCCCCACCGAATGTGCTGTACCTCGATTCGGTGTCTAGCAACCTTCTAGAGAAAAATGCCAAGGGTTGCCAGGAGTTGTTAACCCATTGTTGTAAGACTCCTCCGATTGCTGAGTCGGATGCGTCTACTGCGATGCTAATGGGTGCTCGGGTGTCCTGATGTGCGAGCATTGTTGCTTTAGCAATCAGTTCCTTAACTGTGGAGAATGCTTTTCGTGCGGTGTCGTCCAGATTGATGGATTTTGCATTTCCACGAATTTGATCGGTAAGAGGCTTCATAAGTAATGCGCATTTCGGTATGAAACGTCTATAGAAACTTATAAGGCCGTTCAACGTTCCTAGTTGCTTGATGGTGGTCGGTTCTGGGTAATCCAGAATGGCCGCCATTTCGGTTCTAAGGGGTCGGATACCTTGAGCATCGATAGTGTGTCCTAGGAAGTCTAACGAGTCGGTTCCGAATTGGCATTTCTGAACGTTTACAGTAATGCCATGTTTTTGTAGTCGTTCGAAAACAAGACCCAGATGCTTGAGATATGTTTCTCTGTCCGGACTTGCGATTAGGCAGTCATCAACATGCGCATGTACGAAGTTGAGACCTCGAAAAACGTCGTCTATGAATCTTTGGAATGTTTGAGCAGCATTTCTTAGACCGAAAGGCATTCGCAAAAATTCATAGAGTCCGAAGGGAGTTATGATAGCTGTTTTCGGAATGTCGTCAGTAGCCATAGGGATTTGGTTATACGCTTTAACCAAGTCGATTTTCGAAAAGACAGTTGTATCTTTCAAGGTAGCTGTCAAATCGTGAATGTGTGGCAACGGGTAACGATCGGGAATGGTTTTCGCGTTCAATCGCCGATAGTCACCAGTTGGACGCCAATCGTTGCTGTCCATTTTAGGGACCATGTGCAACGGAGATGCATATGGGTTACTTGACGGTCGTAAGATTCCTAAGTCTATCATGTGATGGAATTCGTTTTTCGCTAACCTTAGTTTTTCAGGAGCTTTAGAGAATGCAGTTGGTCCTGTAGTCGTGATGTGACATGTAACGTCGCTGGTTACACACGGTAGTTTCGTTTGAGTTTGTTGTATCCCAGGGTACTTATCGAGTAGTGGTTGATAGAGTGGGTCTATCATATGTTTAACTGCGACTGGGGATACTCTACAACCAGTAAACGAAGTTACGCAAACGGACAAATTAGAGTTCCCGTCTACTAGCCTCCGTTTGCGCGTGTCGATGATCAGATTGTGGTATTGCAGGAGATCCATACCAATGATTGGCATAGAAACATCTGCAACAACGAAAATCCAGTGAATGGGTTTGCGTTAACCCACGTTAAGGTAAACGTACCTTTTGCCATACGTAGCGATCGGTTTTCCGTTTGCCGCCTGTAAGTTTAGGGTCGACTCGTGAAGTCGGTCGTTAGGATTTGCTGGGAGAACGCTAACTTCTGCGCCAGTGTCGACGAGGTAGCGAACTCTCGTTGTCACATCTGTGACGAATAACAGACGGCTTTGTTCGCCGGCTACGGTTGCCGTTAACGCGTGCCGGCTTGGAAGTTTCCCGAATTGCTTTTCGAGTCAGTCGGTTTCGTTTTGGGAAAATTGCAGGGTTTTCTGCAATTTCTGGAAAGCTTTCCATACTGGTTATGATACCAGCACCAGTCGGGGTTATCTGTCTATCGTGGTCTAGAGACAGATCGCTTACGAGAAATGCTTCTACGTGGTGTGCGCGATCTCTTACGGTCGGTACGAAGACTAAGATAACGCGTGAGTGTGTGACATAAGTCGTTTATATCATTCTGAGTCGTTTGAGGTTTTTCTTTGACTGAAAATACCTCGGTAGTAGATTTTGTAATTTCTAAAATGCGGTCGGCAGATGCAGCTAGCTCGTCTAAGGCGTTGTTCTGGAACGAGACCAGAACTGCTTGCACCTGTTGGGGAAGTTTTGACAAGAAGAGTTGTTTGGATAGGCCTTCGTCGAAAGTTCTTGGGCCTATAACCTCTCTCATCCGTTGCAACATGTCTGTCGCAGAACCGTGTTGCAGGTCGATATTGTTGAAGAGTTGATCTAACCTTTGTCGATCGGTTAGGTCTCCTCGTTTAAGAATCGAGCGTTTTAAGATTTCGTAAGGATCGGAAACATCACTAGTAAACATACTAGGTGTTACGTACCTGTTGAATTCACGCGGTAGTGCCTTGACTACTGCGAGGAATTGTGCACGTGTGTCGATCACGCCGTGCTCGGAGAAGTCGGCTTCTGCGTAGCAAAACCAGGCTTCGATGTTGTCGGGCCAGAAAGGCATGAGTTGAAACGAAGGCGGGGACAAAGTTTTAAGCTTGAGTACTTTAGGTGTCTGTTCAGTCATGATGAAGTATGAAGTACGATAATGAACAAGGGGAAAATATATATATCCAGGAAAAAACACGAAAAAAATCACAATGTTTAAAAAAATAAAAAAATAAGGCAATGATATATAAAAATCCCAAAAAGGAACAGACTCACAGTTGCAATTAGGTGTACCAGATCACGTCGGTTTCACCAATGATGATGTGACAGGTATTCAGTGTTTGACAACGCTTCTACCAGTAACACCTTCTAATATATTTCGTTCCCACCCAGAGATATCAAAAGACAGAGTCGAGGAGATCGGAAGAGTATATTTGGCGATAACCAATATATCGGAATTCTCTGATCTAATCTGGCTAGCGATTGCGGTTGATGTTGAGCACGGCGTTACCACACGTGATCTGGTGCAGATGCCTGACCGAGCGCCTTCAGCTAAATGAGTCCACTAAAACATATGGTCAGCATCCAATGTCGAAAACCTAGTGCTATTTATTTTGGGGATTTATTTACCGCTACAGGCTAGTTCCTGCTTAGAAAAGACAGTGAGTTTTTGGAAAAGGTTCAGAAAACAGTAACTAAGCTGATTCCCGGAAAAGCGATACTCCCGTATTATGCTTGACTATTTGATTGTCTAAACTAAACACATTTTCGTTGTCGTATAGAAGAACTAAAGGTGATCTAATTGCAGTATTCAAACTACTTAGTTATAATATTGCGCCTGACATGCCCTGATTTTTCTTGTCATCCAAGACAGAAAGTTTACGAGGACACTCCGAAAAAGTTCACGAGCCCGGAACAAATTACTTGTCAGTTGACTATCGACTTTCCCACCGAATCATCAACGAGTGGAATTCATTACCTCAACACGTGGTTGAGGCTCCATCTGTCGATTCTTTCGAAAAAAATTGAATTGACTGATAGACCATCATTGCCAGGACTAGCAAAGGCCATCAAGCATCATGTCCTTTCCAAACTGAAACTGATGTTGGACTGCAAGAACGATTGCGTTTTGCTCTACGTTTGACAAAGGCGTTACAAAAGTTGGCGTTTGCCTTTGGTTAGTTTTTGGTGTTCAGATGTCCACTGCAGTGTCCTACTTTTGTTATTTTTATGCTGTTTACCATCTTATAGACAGGTGACGATATCAGACCAGCTGACTGAGACTAATCTGGCTATAGCAATCCGAATTTTCTCATAAGTTAACGCTTTCTTTCTCATTATTCTTGGTTGCTTGGGCATAAATAATTTTGTGGCACATTGAGATGAGGTGTCAACGTGGATATTGGTCCTTGGTTTCGAATTTTTTTATTCACTGAGAAATGGTAATTATGGCCTTTACTTAATGTTTATTCTTTTGATATTTCAGCAAACCTCTGAAATATTCGTATTGCTGTATCTAACAGCTTGTTTTGACACTCTCTTTGGACAGTACTAGTTCTACTAAAATCGCGTTAATCACAGTGGGCTACCCTATAGGTTAGACTATATATAGTCTTGTGAATCCTAGTTACATACTTTGCAATCAGTATAAGTAAGACAATGGAGTAAAGTCTATATCGTCGTTAAATTCGGTAAGGTTCTGGTATTCGTTTCTCGACAATAATATGTAGTTTCCAATCCCTCATTATTATACCGAGCCCTTATTCAACCTCAAAAGCATCATCCCATCGGTGCGTTTGTTTTTCCGGTAGTAACTGAACATTGATGTCAATTTAAGTGCTATAACTTAAACTAGCAAAATGACGATTACGTTCAGTCTAGTAAAAACAGATTTTCGAGAGGAAGAAAAGCTGAATATAGTGGTTCTTTCTTAGTTGAACCTAATTCCACAACTCGGCGCATCAGATCTAGTATGACTAGTTTTAACTTACTTGTATATTACGTATGTCTATCTAATTTTTGATGTATGTGAAATCTTTCTACACTTATCCGTTAAAAACAAGTCGGTACCCACAATATAGCGTCACGTTCATACATTGGAAACGCAACACAAATACGCGCCCAAGTATTTTGTCATCTTAACTAATAATCCATGTTGTCCGGCTTGATAAAATATATCAACATCGCAAAATGCGACTAGTAGTTTGGAGTTCAGTATCATATCACCAATGTAAGGCCGGATATAGCTGCCGAAAAAGTCAAGGGCAACACTAACAATTAATAGTAACAAGAGGGAAGTAATAAAGCAGTGGTGATGAACAATGAAAAAGGTTTTAAAATTTTGTTTTCAACCAAGTTATCTACAAAATAAAACCAAAATGTGTCTCTAACTCGAAAGACGTCTGTCTGGAGTTGGTTCAACGTGATAGTCTCGAAAACACTTGCTTGTTGACTAATAGTTTCTTCCCCTTACACACTTTTCCACCTAGTGACTTACTTTAAAATCATTGTTTATCCATATCGACGGTATTTCTCATAAATATAATGTCCTATGTATATATATTAAGACATCATTTTTGAATGTGCAAGTGTGACAATATTATTATTGATTTATAAATATTCTGTTCCAAATGAAATACTGAACTCATTGCTTTTCATATCGATCTACGGATGCTGATATATCAAGATAACGAACTTAAATTCCCAGGTTTATTACTAATTCTGTTTTGACTTTTCCTTAATTCGCTTAGCGTACAATGACGTCTGAACACATTGGAGTTGTTGATGCTCTCCCGTACTTCGACAAAGGATACGATGATCCTGGGATTAGAGAAGCTGCAGCTCTTCTCGTCGAAGAGGAGATGAAACGATATAGACCAACGAAAAATTATCTGGAACATCTCCCTTCTTTATCTGGTCCTATTCAAATGAAGTTTGAGACTGAGGTGATGAAAGCTGAATTTGACAGGCTCTCAAATCGTTTGCCTATGGAAATGCTAAGTATGAAACGTTACGAGCTACCCCCACCCCCGGCTGGAAAAATGACTGATGTGAAAGCATGGCAAGACGCAATGGAAAACGCTGAAGTATGATGTCTTTATACCTAATTTGTTTCTCAAATAGGCACAGTTAGAACACCAAGCAACAAGAATTGAGAATTTAGAACTAATGGCAGATTATGGATGTAATGCTTGGAAGCAATACAATAATGTTTTGGAAAGCTCTCTGCAAATTTACGAGAAGGAGCTCTTAGAAATAAGGTAGTTTGTGATCCTCCATGACTAAACCCAGCTTGCTGTTCTTCGACAGCTAATTATATATATGCACTGTTTCCAAATCCATCTCTTTAACACAACAATATAGGAAGCGAGCAAGAATTAGACACTTAATAAAAAGGTTAAATAACAAACAGATGGTAATTTCGCCCTGCAGACAAAATTTGATGTAGCTCTTTATTGCTGTGCAAATGCCTGTGTCTGATGCCGATATGAGTTAGTTGGCAGAGGTCCCCTATTTTTGTCTCTTGTGGTCAAGCCTTGAGAAACAAGTTCGTAAAAAACCCAGCAATAATGACCAGGGTTACCCTTTTGGTTATGAAATGTTTATTTTATGAGGATTAATGGTATTATTTAGCTTCCTGTATGTGAGCCCACCGCTTTCTGCTTGAAAACCAAGTTTTTGAACTAATGGGCCAAACTCAATTAACATGTATTCACTTGGTAAACAAAACTCGTAAAATGTCGAAGTCACTACTCACACTAAAAAATCAATCCCTTTCACTAATTCCATGCCCTATCCCTGCTTTCGTTAGTTTGTTTCCAACTCTAAATTAGTCAGTGGCTGAGCTTATGTCGAGGTGTGACTAAAATCATTCTATTTGATAGCAGTACACGTTATCTTAACATTGGTCACTAACGTTCCATAATGCACAAATACATCCGCCTTGTCCCACTGTCTTGGGTTTGGGTAGAGGTCTGTTTTACACTTTTCCACCCTACTGGTTGGGATGCAGATGCCTTAACATCTGTATTTAACTCAGGTCAACAAAAGCTCTTTCAAACCTTGTGAACCTATGAGTCACTAATATGAGGGCTTCTGTAATACCCTTGGTAGATTATGTTGTCTTCGCACCCAAAGATTTAGTTCATTAATCCTAAAAAATATTTTTGTTCATATCAGCCTAAAGCATAATTTTAGACAGGTACGGAGAGCTGAGAAAATTTTAAGATTTATGTCTGCATCTAAAATTATTATAGGTTGACCAGATAATGTTGTCAGTTCATTAGTCTCCGTAAAGTTAGAGCTAACCAGGGCTGAATTCGTTACTATATTTATAAAAAAGCCGAAACTGATGGCGCTCGACAGCATTATGTGAAGTACTCATCAGGAGAAGATTCCCCATATGCCCTCGCATGACTGCCTGTACTCCAGTAGAATGCTTTCAGAAGTATGATTAGTATACTTCTAGCACTGGTCTCATGTCAACAATTACAGCCACTATAGGAAGCTACGGAATGTTTTTATTCAAAAACTTGGGTGAACGGTTAGACTTGACCGACAGATCATCGGTCGGGCTTATAACTCAATATTTTCTTTTCGGGTATCCTCCTAATTTTAATGTTGATCAAAAGCGGGCTATTGTCTAGACACGTTGATTTGTTCGTTTGTACAGGATTCCTTCCCATTTCTATTTAACTTTGTCATAGACATGCTTTTAGAGATAACACATCCTCTGGATTTTCAGGGATTGATCTTCTACCAGGGGATTCACTTGTTGACTTAAAATGTGCAAATGATATAGTCCTGTTCGATGGAAATGCTGATAAAGTGTAAAATCATCTGATCACCTTAAGCACTAATCCAAGCATTGTTTGGGATGCCGTTTTCTCTCATCAACTACAAAACGTTACTTCAGGATTGACTTGCGTCATCATCCTAATTAGTGATAGGGAGTGAAGTAGTTAGACATATCGACCGCCTCAATTATCTTAGGAGTTTCGTCGGTACTGGTGTATGACGAAATCTCAAAATGAATTAAAAGGGCTCGACTAGCTTTTGCCAACTAGTGGCGCAGGCGAGATATCCATCTCTCAACCAAAGAAGTTTATTTTGCAGCAGTTTGCTCCGTTCTACTTTATGGACGTGAAACATGGTCATTGATGATAGAGAATATTCACAGGTTATTGGCATTTGATCATAGGCGTCTACGAATTCTTGCGTGCTTATCTTGGGACCATGGAGTAAGCAATGCCTGAATTCGAGTAATACGTAAAGATAGGAAATCGACTGGGGTAGTAAATCCTCATAAACTGAGGTGTGTGTTACTTATGCCAGGCCACTTCCCACCTCGATGGGCATTGTTTTCTAGTACAGGCTGGAAAAGATAGGGGGACCAAACTATAACATGACATCAGTCTGCGAAGTCACTGACAATTGGACTCAACCACACTAAAGGGTATAGGCTACCTGGTTGGGGTGTGCGTGATTATCGTAACCAGTGGCTAGAGACTTTGAACGTCATGGTTCAAAATCGTTTTCACTGGCGCAGATGCATCCATTCTTTGTCTTCTCCTGAATTCTGGATTTCTCATAGCTTTGTTTTTATTTCACTAATTTATATTTTCTTTCCGAAGTGTATCTCCGATGCCTAATCTTTCCTATTACTGATACTGTGACTACCTCTACTATTCCACGATTTGACCTAACAACATCTCTCTGTGCTAATGGGTTACGGTAACTCGAACCGATGTATGTACGTATAGGTTCTACGTTGTGATTGACTGATGTCCCTCCAGAATATCAGTCCCTGATTAGGCATCTTAATCGTGCATTAGTTTCTTTTTACTAAAGCCAAACTTGTGTTCTTACAATAAGTTTCATATATTTTGATAAAAATCCGCCTGATATCGCTTAAAATGTTCCCCGTCGGTCTGCAAACTGGGGTAACATGTCGATCTCACAATGTTACGGTTTCTTGCTAAAAAGCCACCGATAGTTATCAACTGGATTTAGGTAAAGATGCACCCTGGAACCTGATAATATTTTTAACATTTACATCTACAGAATTGTATTGACACAAGTTATATCAGTTTTATGTATATATATTAGGTGTTTTAGATCAAAGGAAATGCACTCCAATCTTCTCTGTATTTATTGCTCGAGAATACAGTAGGAGATACTGTTCTATTCTACAGGAACCTATGAATTCGAAGGCTTTAAACTAGTTAAGGAGACTTGGAATACTAATTCCTAGGTTCGTATCATTAACGCTGGGTGAGAAGTTGGGAAGACGATATTTTTGGGTAGCAGGAGTTACGACGGAAGCGAAGATGACAATTTCAAAAGTTAGTAGTGGGAGGGAACCATCAGTGTATTTATGAAGGTTTATGATCTTTTTCCCACCTGAATGCACTGCGGGGGTTAATGTACTTTCAAAAACTCCAAAAGAGCGTGACTACATAGTTTAAAAAGTATCCGTTTTTGATGATATCTTAGTGGAGTAAGGGTTTCGTCTTCCCTGCAGTATTAAAAATCCCAATAATATGAGTCAGAACATATGTATATTTTTTAGAATTTTGATTCTATAAACAAGTGGTTAAAAATATACAGTTTATAGAATCAACCTTTACCAATCTCTAATTATCCAAAATAAAATTTCCCCATCTCTGAGAGTGCTTATCATATAAGCACAAGACATTATTCATTCAGTATTAAGAAGCAACTCTTGAACCTTTGTGACAGTAAAGTTAGTCACATCGTGGTTTCTAAATTTTCATTGAAGTTATACACTTGGCAAGTTTACGTTCGTTCAGTAAGTTGTTACTCAAAATGTTAGCTCAAAGATTTTTCAGTTCTTCTTCATTCATTTAGTTTCGTTTTACGTTTTAAAAGGCGAAAAATCCAGGAAATAAACTGGCGCCGTAAACAAGAGCAAACAGCTGCTGGAAGACATCTCAAGGAATTAGAAGAATCATGGGTCGGTCTGGTTGGCAAAAACTATGAAATCGAGCAAGCCATATCAGAACTAGAGCAGGAACTAGGTGTATTTTCAGAACCAATGGATAGTGAAGATCAGTGAAGTTGTATATATATGCATATTAATATACTTTGTTTTCTAAATGTAAAAAGTAGTCATTCTGGCATTTCACTTAATCGTAATCACAATCTAGTTATCCTCTTACTGATGAGACGACTGAATTAAAAAACACGATAGGATCACACAAAGTGGTCAAAATGATGCTTCGCTCATAGAATCAATCTTTAAATCACCAACGCGTATATTTTGGAATACAGTAGCACTAGCCAAGTAATTGAACTAATATAAGGGGATTCAAATTGTTCCTTTTTCATGAAATACCTAACCAAAGTAGTGTGCTTTCCATTTAACAAACGGTCAATCGATGATGGAGATATAGGTCCCGAAGTAACCATTTCTACTAACTGTATCATGATTTTATATTTCCACTACATATTTCGTACCAATATTGCAAGCGACAGTCAGTGATGGTAGTTGTCGAGATAACTAACTACTTTCGTAATATGCAACAGATAAACGTTGGGTCTGTTACAGTTGTTTATTGCTTCAATTACTCACAACCGACGTTACATCAAGAGGAAACCACTTAGAAAAGCAGGTTATTGAAAATAATAAGACTAACGGAGTGCTAAACCCTCTTTGTGTATTCAAATGCAGCTTGTTTTCACCTTGAACCCACCCTAGTAATATTAGCTTACTATCCAGAGTGATGACGATTCGAATTTCTTTCATATTATTTTTTTATTATCCTTGTTTCCTCTTACCCTCCATTTCTAGTCTAGTTGACCTTTTCTTTCTATATATAAATGTTCTTAACAAGTATATGTGTGATCCGATTGTTCAAAATGTATCGCGCTAGTATATCACTAGTTCTGATGGTCTTCGTCTTATTACACTATCGAAATTTTCTAAAAAAAAGAGTCGAAGGAAATGAATAGAAAGTAAGGAAGTATCTTAATGAGGTAGCCCAGGTGTCACAGTCATCTACATTGCTCCAGCTAATGAATCTGTTTTGTAGACGAAAGTTTTACGGATTAAGGATATGAAGGCACATGAACCAGACTCTTACTGGGAATTTCAGTGTTACCAATATACAACTTACTGCACAAAAAGGTATGTGTTATCCTGATTGGAACAACTTCGAAATTGTAGAGTCTTACTAGTTTTATTATTCCAATACCTTGTTTTTGGACACCTCTCGATAATATATTAAAAATGTCATCCCGATTAACGACTAAAGGTCTGTGTAAACAGCTTCAGAGACTATAAAAGGAAGTATAACCAAAATCATCCCAACAGAAAGTAACCAAGGTAAACTAGTTTTTCGATGAATTCATTATGTCTGGACGACTTCTAATGCATTGATTTTCCATCAATAATCTGCATACACCAACAAAATAATGATAAAGATTACTTAAACAAGCAGTCCACACGTCAAGACCTTTCATGTCAAAAGACTTCCTTGAGTTATAACTACATTTAAGAATGGATTTCATATGGATCGTCATCCTACTGTTTTCTCCCGACTGTAGCTGCTACCTTGATGTGGTGATCGGGCTTGTCTACCACGATGACTCAGTCAGTCAGCTACAACGTAGGACCAGGCACACATATGCATCGGTCCAAGTTCCCATACCGCATTAGCACAGCAAGATGAACATTGGATTCATAGAAGTAGTTAAGTCAATGATGGTAATACATTAAACAAAGAATGCATATAAAGGTATATTAGAGGAGCAAAGATTTAGTACGTAGAAAGAAAGATATGAAGCGATTTTAATCTCATAGTTTAAGGGAAGACAAAGAGTGTATACACCTATGCCATTGTGATCGATTCTAAGCATCTCTAACCATTGGTTACGAGTCACGCGGACCCCAACCAAGTAGTCTGCATCTACCAACACGGCTCAGACCAGAAGTTAGTGACTTCAAGCACTGATGCCACGTTTTGGTTTGGCCGCCTCTTACTTTCTTCAAACCATCTCCAACACCGGTTAGGATTGCACGTCGTGGTAATCGGTGTTCAGGCGTACACTACACGTGGCCCAACCATCTCAGTCCATGAAGATTCACAACCTAATTAGCTGATTTACCATCATTCTCTAATACCCTGGGTCTAACCTCAATATTACTCACCCGGTGATCCCAGTAATATTTCTAAGGCATCTGTGGTCAAATACTAGCAACTTACGGATATCTTCAACTCTTAATGGGCACGTTTCGCAGCCGTAAAGTAAAACAGAACGAACTGCCGCGAGGTATACCCGTCCTTTCATTGATAGACTGACATCTCGCCTTTTCCATAGGTGACAGACACAGCCACAGAACCTCTCGGTCTACAAAGTCAAATGTTACTTTTAAGTCAAGAAAGACCACCATTGTCGAACCCCGATAAGCATACCTGTGTTCTAAAACCTGACGAATAGTGAATATGTGGTCGATGTAGCCACGACCAGGTCTGAAGCCAAACTGATTTTCTCGTATTTGCAGTTCACGAGTCTTAGTTAGGCGTCCGATAATTATCGAGGCTATTGTTTTACATGCTATATTAGTTAAACTAATCCCTTTATGGTTGTCATAGGATGATTTTGACCCTCTCTTATATTGGGATGATAAGTGCTATGCCTAAACCTGCCAGTCGTTCCTGCAACAACTATCGGGGGATAAGTCTACTTCCGATTGCGTTCAAGCTATTGGCTTCCGTTATACTTCGTAGGTTGTTCAAAACCCGAGAAAGATTGACTCGCGAGGAGCAGGCTAGTTTTCGTTCTGGTCGAGGATGTATTGATCATATCTTCATCCTCCGCCAAATGTTAGAACACCGCCATACTTATCAAAGGTCAACAATCGTAGTGTTTCTTGACATCAGGGCTGCCTTCGATTCGTTGGACAGGGCTGTTCTCTGGGATTGTCCACTGGAGGAGGGTGTGCCTGAGAAGTTTATTAACATCCTAAAAGCCCTATATAAAAACACCTCAGGCAAAGTGAGGGCATACAACCACCTCTGTCCATTGTTCCATTCGAGCAGTGGGGTTAGGTAGGGTTGCCCAATCTCACAATTCCTCTTCAACTTTGCCATCGATGACATTCTGGAAACAGCTCTAATGGATGTAAGTAATGGCGGTGTGGATCTGTTGCCTGGAGAAAGACTTCTCGACCTTGAGTATGCGGACGATATTGTCTTACTGTGCGATAACGCCCAAGGCATGCAATCCGCACTTAATCAGTTTGCAATCAGTGTCCGTAGGTATGGTATGTGCTTTGCACTTCGAAGTGCAAAGTATTTCTACAAGACTGACAGGATTCTAATCCTGTACTCACCCTGGATAGTGAGCAGATAGAAGTAGTCGAGAAGTTCGTGTATCTGGGTAGCTGCATAAGTGCTGGTGGGGATGTGAGTGATGAGATCAATGCACGTATAGTGAAAGCCAGAGCGGCTTATGCTAATCTGGGCCACCTTTGGCGCCTTCGTGATGTTAGTCTGGCTGTAAAAGGTCGGATCTACAACGCGTCGGTGAGAGCAGTTTTGCTCTATGCTTGTGAAACCTAGCCTCTCCGAGTTGAGGACGTTAGACGACTATCTGTGTTCGATCATCGTTGTCTCCGAAGGATTGCTGACATGCAGTGGCAACATCATGTCAGTAATGCAGAGGTTCGGCATCATGTGTTCGGGCACAGAGATGATGATTCAATTGGTGTCACCATCTTGAAACACTGACTTCGGTGGCTTGGACATGTTCTCCGAATGTCGTCCCAGAGAATTCCACGTCGTGCATTATTTGCCGACTCTGGGACTGGTTGGAAGAAGCGGAGAGATGGTCAGTGCATGACATGGTGTCGTGGTATGAACGAAAACTGCAAAGGGCTGGCTTGTGTTGGTCCTTCACGACTACCTGGTTGGGGTCCGAGAGATGGTGCAACACAGTGGCTAGAGACATTATCAGATATGGCTCAGAATAGAAGCCAGTGGCGATCCTGCTGTAACATTCTTTTACCTTCTTCATAAGAAGTGGTTGTTTCTTCCTTACCTGAAATATTTCTTCTGATTATACCTCGTTACTACCACACTATCTTACACCAATCTCTTCGTTATTGTTCTCTTTTTCTTTTGCGCTCCTTAGTTTTTTTTCTATTTCTCTTCGCATTCTCATTGTTTTGTGTGGCGCTCTCTTGTACCAATATTTGTGTTCAAATAAATAAATAAATAAAAGATACACGGGCGGTGTATCTCGTCGGCTCTCCGTTTTGCCGAGGTGAGGCGACGTGGATGGCCACACTAGGATCCTGTATGTGTGTTTCAGAGACACAGCATACATCGATGGTGCGAGATTCTAGGGTTCTAGAAAAGGAAGCCTGCTGACCAAGTTGACATAATGTGCGTACGTTGAAGGCTGCAATGTGTTGTTTGGAGCGAGGTTTCAGTAGACCTAGGACAGTGTTTTGTGCAGTAAAATCGTTGACTATGGAGACACTCGACGAGGGATTCGAAAGAGGAAGTCAGTCAGTAACAACGTAGAACTTCGTACGTACGTACATCAGTTCGAGTTGCCATACCACATTAGCATAGAGATGCAGCTGTCGATTCAAATCCCATAGTGGTAGAGGTGGTAAAAGTATAAGCAGTAATCAGAAACATTAGGGTTTGAAGATGTTATTTAAAGAGTATAATCCAGTGAAATAAATTTGGAAAGAGGAAAAAAGGGACATGGAGAATTCAGAAGATTAGAATATGGAAGAACACAGAGAGTGGATGCACCTGCGCCATTGCAAACGATTTTGAGCCATGTCATTTAGCGTCTCTAACCATCGGTTGCTATCATCTCGCGGTCCCCAACCCGGTAGTCTACACCTACCAACATGACTCACTCCACTTGTCAGTGACTTCATGGACTTGTGCCATGATTTGTTTTGGCCGCCCCTAGCTTTCTTCCAACCTACTCCTATACCACTGAACATAGCACGTCGAGGCAGTCGGTCGTTGGGCATACGTAACACATGTCCCAGCCATCTCAACTGATCAAGTTTCACTACTTCATCAATTGATTTGCCATCCTTACCTAGTACCCGTTTCCTAACAACTACATTACTTACTCGATGGTACCATGATATACGAGCAATGTTTCGAAGACACCTATGATCAAATACTAGTAGCCTACGGATATCCTCTACTCTTACCGGCCATGTTTCACTGCCATAAAGTAGAACGGAACGAACTGCTGCGCAGTAAACACGTCCTTTGGTTGATAGACGGATATTTTGCCTACACCATAAATGACGCAAGTTGGCAAGATCTAATCAAGCCTTCT